CGACACACGAATATTGATCTACTTATCGCTGCCGACTAACCGCGAATTTGATCGCTGGCAGTCTGGTGGGACCTTTGTCCCCTTTGCGGCTGTCGTAATTCAGCGTACTGACGGGCATGCCCCTTGTCGACAGACGGATTTATCATTTTTTCTGCCCGCATGAGTGGACGTCAATCTCGTGGGCGTGGAGGTGACGAAGTGTTCACGTAGTTCCTGGTCGGCTCCTTCCCCATTTTCCTCTGACGCCGGTTGTATATAACGATCGAGTTTGCTTTGCCTTCCTGTTGGCCTTCGCTCGAGTGTGGCATAGATTGGAAGTTATTGTAGCCTCTGTGTGGAATCCTTTCCTATATTTCGTTTGGAATAGTAGCAGACACAGCCACAATTGGAGTTCTTGGCGATATGTTTAGTATAGTACGATCCCTGCGTTTGGTCTGCAGATAGCGTTATCCGAGGAAGAGGGCAAACCTCATAAGTATCTTGTGCTTATTTTGTAGGACCTGGAACCACCACCGCTGCTAGCAGCACCACTGAGACTACGGAGGGCCCAACAACCGGTAAGCTTAATCACTCTTCACGTTAAAAGGCTCAGTTGAAGTAGATAGCGCAGAAACACTGGCATGGAGTATTCCTTCATTATTTGGGCCTTTTCAATTCGATGAAGTGTAGCATACCCTAGAGACATTGGGAAAATTTGTGCAAAATAGTTCCGTCTAGTCAATTCACAGCAGGATCCGAGGGAGTGAAAACCTTAGTACTTGCGGATGCTAAACGTAGTAGGAACTTTTTATTTGGTTTGTAGATAGCGGTATGCAAGAAGAAGCTCATTCACCGTGAATTTTCGTTGTGCGTGTTTTTGCAGGACCCATAACCACTCCTGCTGGCAACACCACTAAAACCACGGAGGGCCAAACAACTGCTAAGTTCAATGACCCTTCCCGTAAAACTGCTTAATAGAGGCAGTGAGATGGCAAGGGGTACCCCTTTATCCTTGGGCATCTTCAATTCGATTAAGTGTGGCTTGTCCTGGAGGCACTGATACAATTAGTACGAACTCGTTCCGTCTGCTTCATGCCAATATACCCTCAATGACAGATTAGGAGGATTGCTCTCGGTTTTCCGTGAACATTTGAATGGGTCGTGTTTGACACGCTACGCAGATTTCGTAGCTAGCTTCATCATCTACAGTAGACATGACGCCCAGTTGTACGTTAATAATGCAAAAAGAGCGGGAGATGCTTTTCAACACTGTTATAAATGTAAACGAAGTTCATCTAGCAAGACAGTCGGTGGACGCCACACCTTGCGATTTTGCAGCATGATCAGTTTACTTAGTGCAGATGTTATAATGAGGCAGTAGAAGACAGTCACTTAAATTGAACAAGACGTTATCACATTTATTGTTTCATGGCTAAATTGCGTTACATTCAACACAATATTGTCAGCAGTTTTGCAGATATCTGAGCTTGTTTGGAAAGACATTTGATTTCTATTCTACAGATTTTTCTCTTGTTTCTGTTTGTATTATTGCAAAAAAGAGGCGAATTTTCTATGGGTCGCTGTTAAATGTAATGATAGCAATAATATTATATTCGCAAATTGTATTTATCCTATACCGAACAATTTCTGTCCACTTTTCATGAGCAGCTTTATCATTCACAGGTATGCACTCTGTTATTTAAAAAAATGTTAACTTACGTACCCGACCTTACTACCATAGTTTTGAAAAAATATCTAGTAAGCTGTTAATAATGAGTAAAATAGTCATATATATTATTATTAATATAGACAGAAGGACATCTCTGACAAAGACATGGGACACTAAAATGACCATTTCTGCCTAATTTAGCATCATCAGCTAGTGATACCCAAATCCAGTTTTGTCGCTGAAATGGTTAGGACGTTCGCCCTGACGGGGGAGATCGCGAGTTCAAATCTAGGTGTGGCATCAATTTCAGCGGCCACATTGGGGTTGGGAATCACCAACCGATGACGCTTAATAAGGCAGAAAAGGGCTTCCTAGTGTCCCATGCCCTTGTCGGCAATGGCATTCTGCCTATATCCTAGCCGCCTTGCAGTCGAGGCTCGAATGACAGCTAGAATGGCAGCATGGACCGACGAGTGTGTCCTCTAACAGCTCAGTTTACACGTATCTGCTACTATCTTATCAGTACATGTAATATTGTTGATATGTTCGCAATCACAGAAAAGTTACACAAATGAAGGTGAAATTCCAGATGAGTAAAATAACTGTAGTGTAGATCTCAAATCTAGTACCTGCGTTTGTCTTCAATCAAAGCAGTTAACCCTCATCAACAGCCTATGCGTGCTTCGGTAGTTCATCAAATCTTAAGCCAATAGGGGCCCACTGCGGTCTGTTAGCCTGTCGATTGGGGTCTTATTTGGTTCCGCCTAAACTTTGTAAGTGCCACCCAAATCGATATGATTAAGGATGCGTGCATCGTTTTAACGCATTGCTTCAATACATGTGCGGCCCTTCTTTTATAGGCGATGCCAAATCTACTCTCATCGAAACTTGTTTCCTGTGTCCAGTTTGTGCTGGAATACCTAAAATAGTTGACTTACGCTCTATATGACTCGTTCATTTTTACGAAAACAGGTTAAAGTGATTTCCTAGTGTGGCGCCAATAGCCTGCAGGATATTCAAATAGATTATTCTGTCAACTGGGAGCACCGCCTGAATGTTCAAAGTTATAAGCTTGTGCGATATCTGGCGTCCATAACTATATTTCGACAAGAGCAGTTTCATTGTTTGCCGGCTCGTTTGTTTTCGCGCCTGAGTGGTCGGGAATGGTTTAAACTCATTTTGTTGCATATATCTTCGAGTAGCGTCGGGGCGATATTCGTTTTGGGGATAAAATTTTTAAAAAAATCTTTTTTCTGTGTTTGGTGTGTTTTTTGTCAGTGGAATTAGTTTTATGGTTGAAATGAAAATTTATTAACAGAAATATCTGTGGGAGACTTTAAGTGTTTAATCCCAGAATGCAGGATCAGCCCAAACTAAGCAGTGTTTGGTTTTTGTCCTCTGCACGAGAACCTACCAAAATTACCAAGATTGAACATTTACACAAAAATTTTTCTTTTTAACGAGGGCGCAGCCTTCTCCAACAAAACGATTTAGGTTTTATGATAGTAATATGAATGTATGGGAGGAATTATTTATATTCTGCTCGAGATCATCATACTGGATATTGCGCTGGGTCTTTAGCTTATATAAGTGTTAAAGATCTTTCCTTGTGCAAGTTTTTCAATAACATTTTATATAAGTTAAATGCTATTTTACTTTACTGTCCTCCAAAAGAATACAGCCAATAGTTAACGCATTTAATGTCAAATACTGCCATGTTTGTTGGTAAACACCAGTTTTGCAGTAATTAGGAAACTAATGCATGCGTGTATTGGTTGTAGAATCGCATACTCTGCCTGGAACGACTATCGCTGGAATCTTTCTTGGTTCAACTTTTGGTGCACTTCTGGTTACCGTTTCCGCTATTCTTATATTCATCAAATGCCAAACGTAAGATTCCTTTTTCTAACCAATTAAGAACCACTTTAACCTCTGATACACGGAAGATATCTGAATGTTTTGTATTTATATTTTCAGGCTTAACAGGTATGTTTAAGCTCGTATTTTCTAAAATGAGTGTATAATATTTGTTCTCCATTATCGAGATCCTGCGTAATAGAACAGAAACTCTGGTTAGAAAATGTATAACTATTTCAAGAGACTATTTTACATTCTTCAAAACGGTTAAATTGTGTTTTAGCAACAGCACAGTTTGCTTACATACATATTAGAGAAATAGTCTAGCTTGCAATTTACACGTTACGTCATCTTTTTATTTGACAGTTCGCTGGTTATACCAGGCGTAAGTCCGATAAATATACATCATTTTGCTTCCTTTATTATAATATGTATTTATTTATGGCAGACTTCTAGTATTTTTTAAACAGCACCTGGGTAAATATTTACATTGAATACTGTTTTTCGCTTTAGATGCCGATGATATAAACTTCAGAATATATGTGAAAGCAATTCGCGTGCCGTGGTAAATTTTGGAAATTCATGCGGTACAAAATTAGACTGACATTTTTTTGGGGATAACATGTCATATTTATTCAGTGCATTTAAATCTGCTACGTCCTGGTATTTTAAGTATTTTTTAATAAAAGCGCATATGTCTGGACGTGTTCATTTACTAGTGAAAAAACGTATTACTCACGAAATTTTGACGAAACCTGAATCTGGTTTATTTAAGTCGTTAACAATCGAGACGGTGGAATCCATTTCTATAAGATATTTGATTCCGAATAACGATTTTAAAATAAATTCTGCTTGAATTGCCCGATAAACAGCGTTTAGAGTGCTTCGCATTTTCATGTATTACTAATTAATGTACTAAGGCTAAAACTTGATATTGCAGATGTCGTAAAAGTCCAAAATTAATGAGCGCAAAGCGGTAGTAGATCTTTAGCTATTATTAAATGCACGCTCTCAAATCCTTCTTTTTACTATAATTGACATATACGTCATGATCACATACTGGATTACAACTTCCTACATGCATGTGCAGGCCGCATCTCAGCTTGCCACTTACTGGCTTTAGACAGTATGATTACTAGAACTAGCACTTGGCCCCAAACTAAAATCCCGACGCAAAATGTGAGCAAACTAGTATTAATGACAGGATGCATGGTCAACTCAAGTTGTTCCAGGCAGACTTCATCTCTCTACGGCCAGGATACGAACGCGTTCACAAACCAAAATTCGCTCGAGCATACCCTCCCCCCTTCCCCAGCCTACACCAAGCCTGGTGCAAAGCGGGGTCAAGTAAGGCGTGAAAACCTAGGCTGATTGCGATCAGATTAGGTAAGAATTGATAAACGCGGGGTGTTAAAAAAGCCCCCTCCCCTCATCTTATCTAGCGCAATTATTTAGTTCGAGCATTCGAAACGCAGATCGGCGAGGGGAGCACAGAATCTCCCTTGGACGCGATATCGGTAAATAGATCACTCCGTCATTGGCTATTCACAACATAATCGGGGCGTCGTTCGAAACAATGCTTTATAAAGTGAATTGCTAGACCTCAACAGCTATATAGCTCGTGATACCCCCGAACCTGTCGTGTAGTCCGGCGCAATCTACCTGTACCTGCTGATCTCCAAACCCCTACACATCGACCGCATGCTCGCAGGAACTCCCAAGTGTCCTACAGAATCACCACGTGAAG